GATTTTTATTTATTCACTTTTATTGTTATTTTGAGTTCCGTTGTATGAACAAGTGACAATGTAGTTGTTGATCAGGTTGCCAGGCTTTTTAGGTGTTTAAAGTTTTTTAGTCATAAGCAGTGCTGCTATATTGCCCATTCTTTACATAGCTTTGTGTCACCTTGTAGACACATATAAGGTGTAAGTGTGGTAAAGAACATGGCCTCTGGAGCTTCAGGCACAGCAAGATCCAGGTGCTCAGACGATGTCCCCAGGTATCTGTCTCATGCCGTCTCTTGACTCCACTTTCTTCTGGGCATTCTCAGTGGTCTCTCCACATGTGATGGTCCCCTAGTGGCTCTGAGCTGATATCCTGCCAGCTTAGCAGCCCCAGTGGACTGAGAGCACCCCTTTCTGGAAAGTTCCAGCAGGAGTCCATGGGCCAGATTGGGACATGTGTTCATCTTGAACAAGTTAAACCAGGAAAATGGGATCTCTCTTGGCCAAACCTAGGTCATGTGCTCATCCTAGTCAGTCTCATCAGAGCCAGATTGTGAGGGGCAAAGGGGTGATTCTCTAAAGAAAAAGTTGTCACCACACAAAGGAGGACTGGGTGGTGGGCAGAAAACAGCAGCAAAGGGCCAGGACCTCGTCAGCCCTTCCCATATGCACCCCTTTCCCAGTGCACATGCCACACTGCACGTGATTATCACAGGGCCACTTACATATCAGTGTCCCCTGAAAAAAGGAGACTTCATCTTTCACCTCATCTCCCAGGGCAGACGCAGCTCAGTGCCCAGCTCACAAACAGCTGCTGTGGAATCCACCCCTTGACCAAACACAGCCTGAGGAGGGGGAAAGGCAGGCAACCCTCAGCCCCTGTGGTTTTCACCTCTGCCCACTATGGACCAGGCGGACAGGCAAGAGGAAGAATATGTCCACCACACTTCACCCTTCTTTCTCTCAGCAAAACGAAGACCCAAAATGCTTTGTCCGACCCAAAAGTCCCCCTGTACTCAAACAGCTGTTATTGATTGAACACCCAAGTGCCACGCATATTTTATATGTGACAGGGTAAGATTTATCAAGATAGGAATGTGTCCAGCCTCCTGGGAATATACTAAGAACAGTTGTACATTTTAATAGGGTGGATTTTATGGTGTATGAATTATATCTCAATAAAGCTGTTGTTTTTCTGAAAGGACTACCAGGTCTTATATGGCATGATTCCACTTATTTGAAATTCAGAAGTGGCCTATAGTGATGGTAGTCAGAACAGTGCTGACCTTGGGTGGGGGCTACTGACTACAGGGCGTAGGAAACCTCTAGAGGGCTGGAAATATTGCGTATCTTGATCTGGTGGCTAGTACGTGGTGTATATCATGTGTCGAAATTTATTCAGCTGTGTACTTCAGACATGTATGCCTTAAAGCACACAAGTTATACTTCAGTAAAAAGTAAACCCCAAAAGGGCTAGGTGTTTTTAAATGAAGAAAAGAAACCAGTTCTAGAGTACATCAGAGCTCAGGTTTTTAACTTAAGACAGTTGGATTCTAAATCGTGCTCTACCACTTCCTATCTGTGACTAGTAAGTACTTGGAACAAGTTATTTAACCACTCTGTGCTTCAGTTTCTCCATCCATAAAATGGGGATGACAATAGTACCTTCACTGTTGCAACAATTTGAATGAGTTTATCCTTGCAAAATTCTTGGAACGGTGGTTGGCACATAGTAATTGCTCAGTAAATGTTAGTTATTTCTATTGTTGCTGATGTGGACCAAGCACAGTCATATCTCTGTGGATACAGAGATAAAAGATGCAGCCCTGTCACCATGGAGGGCACCATCCACTGGGAAGACAGACAAGCCAGCAGTCGTAATAGAGAGAGGAACACTGTCATAGCGAGAAGCCTGGAGTGTGGGAGCTCATAGGAAGAGCTCCCAAATTCAGCCAATGGTTCAGGTATGGGGAGGCAGGGAACCCTGAGTAGGAGGAAGAAGAGTGTGCAAAGGCACTGAGGTGACTGAGCAAGAGATGCATGAGAAATGGTTCAGCTGGTCAGTGCAGCTACGAGCGGCATCCATGGAAGACAAGGCTGGAAGGCAGGGAGAGGGAGCAATCCGAAAGTTCCTTCTCAATCACGCCATAAAGCTGGGATTTTCTTCTGAAGCCGAAGGGGAAACACCGAAGGATTAAATGGGGAAGTGACACAGGCAGATGTCTTTTGAGAAAGACCACACTGGTCACCTGTGGGGAATTCCCTGCATGGGAGCCAGACTAGAGGCAGAGAGGCCAATTAGGGGCTGTTCCTGTCCCTCAAGACACATACTGCAATTTGTACATTTAGATCCGTTTCTTTCCACATTTAGTGCTGATCTCCTCCCAGCTGGATCATGAGCCTCATGGAGGCAGAAACCGTATCTGTCTACTTCTTAGTCATCTCTTAGATGTCTGGCAAAAAGTGTTGCTGTCTGAATATTATTGAGTGACTAATGAGTGCACGAGGCACGTTTCTGTTCTCAGTTAACAGGCGGGGGAAGGGTGTGCAGAGAGGGGGCTGCTGCTGGGATTCAGGCATCATCCGGTGATGGAGTGAAGGCTGGGAGAAGTGGGATGGCGTGACTGTGTCAGGACTTCAACCCGTGTGGATGTGCAGAGGCAGGGAGTGACTCCTGAACTTCTGGCTCAAGCAATGAGGGGGAGCAGAGGTTCCACTTCCTCGGGAGGGAAATGGCAGCTTCAGTTTGGATCCCTGTGAGATGGCTGGTGGTGGTGTGTGTGTCTAGATGTTGCTGGAAAAAAACGATCAGTAGCTCAGAGGTATGGTTTAAGGAAGACAGAGGATGATTTCAAAATATTTAACCACATGGGTGACCACCGATTAGCACTCATGCTCGCCATGGGGCTGCAGCAAGGTGCTGGAGGCCTCTGCTGTGCCAGCAGCTTTTAGTTGCTGACTATGAGGAGGTCTAGCGGTCCCAAGGGAGGCCCTCAGGGGGCTGTTACAGCTATTTACCAAGCAGCACGTAAGTATTGCAATCTTTTAAACTCTGGTATGGCAGCCCATGAGCGAGCCCTGAAGCTCTTACTACGTGCCAGATGCTGTGCTAAGCTAAACCCTCTCTATCCACGACCTCCTTCAACCCTCACAACCACCGTGTGAGGTACCATCAAGTATCATCATCATCATTATCATCATCACCCTCACCATCATCTCCATTCTAACACGGAAAGTGGTACAGCAGCCTTCTCACCAGTGTGCTAATAGTCTCGCGTGGGAAATTTCACGGCAGCCTCTGATCATGGTACTGGATCACTGCAATTTAATCAACACCTTCAATAACTTGTGCATAGTCCCTGTTCAAAGGGCAGGGCAACCTTGTTTGCTGAAGGCCCCCATCACTCAGGGAAGCTTTCCAAGGGACTTCCCGCAAGCCTTTGCAAACCTGTTCTAACCACCCCTAGCCCAGCCCTGGTGGAAGTGGCCACGCCCTCTCTGTGCCCCACTACACCTAGCTATAGGACAAGGATCCTGACACGTACATCTTGAATTCATGGATGCTTAGCAAAAACGTCTGGCTGTGGGCTCAATAAATGTTCGCTGAATGAATGAGTGGACGCATGAACAAGGCTGAATTGTGACCGTTATTCAGTGTAAGATCCAGCTCCAGCTACCCCACCATCAGGAACGTGGGAGTGCATAATACACTCCTCTTATTTTCACCTTTGAATTTATATTTGATTACTTTTCTGACCCTTGCAGATGTTTTCTACTATAATAGTAAATGAGAATCTATTAAACCACTCCACAGTCTGAGATTCTAGGCTGCAGAAATTATGGCAAGAGGAACAGCAAGAATATGCCTGATGCAACCAATCAACCTGAGGAGGAACCAAGAGAATTTAACTTTCTCCATGCATAGGAGTTTACGCTGCTCAACTCCCTCCCTAAATGAGGGCAAAACTAGTGATTAAAGCATATACACCAACTCTTAGACATTAAAATAAAAACACAAATGATATCTAACACCTGTTTAAGGGCTCATCCTGATTTGGGGAAAGCATCATGCTCAAGAGTTGTGAAGCCTTACAGATGCCGCCTCAGGGACCCAGAATGATTGACAGAGGAAGTTCAGAGCTGAGGGGACCTTGGGCCAGAAAGGAGGGCATGAAGCTACACATGCACCCAGGTCTTGGCCCCTCTCTGCTCCAGGGTGGAAGAGAAGAGAGCTCCTGAAGACTCAGGCTGTCAAACGGGACAGCAGGTGCGGCACAGGTCAGTGTGGCCCAGCATTGGTGCTGGGGGCTGGTGAAGGATGCCATCACCTTCAGCAGTTCAGAGGGACTGGGTTCAGATCGCAGCCCTGCCACGTCCTAGCTAATGATCCTGCATGATGCTTCTCAGTCGGCTGCCCCTTTGCAAAATGGAAAATGATACTGCCTACTTCCCAGGAGTGTTAGGAGGAATAAAAGGCGGCTATGAAGTGCTTGGCGCAATGCTGGCACACAGGTACTCATGAAATACCCCTTTATGAGCTGGTAGGTGGAGGGCAACCTGGGAAGTAAAGGAAACATGTCCAGGTTTGCACGGGGGCCAAAGGTCACTAAGATAGGGTCTGAGACAATTGTTCTCAAACCTGGCTGCACATTAGAATCAGCTAGGGTGCCTTTAAAATCCTCATGCCAGCCTCTTTATACCCACTGAATTTGAATCCATGCGGGGGGGGGGGGGACAGGCATTTTTTTAAAGCTCCCCAGAAGATTCTAAAAGGTAGTCAGGGTTGAGACCCTCTGTTGTAGCTAACAAGAGTTGAGAGTCAATCATCTATAAACAAAATTGCTAATAGTCAATCAAAAGGATGTCCCCAGGCCTAAGAGTAAGGCCATCGTGGTTTTAGAATTGAAAAAAGTAATCTGAAAATTAAAAAGTTACCCATCTTTCTAATCCTGAACACTACACGTTAACAAAATATATCGTAATTACTAAACTCTCAGGAAGCAACCACTCTGGAAAAGTCATAACAAAGCTCAAGTGTTTATTAAGAATTAAAAATACTGTAAATAAGCCATACAGTTCATTTCACAGTAAACTAAACAAACCTTTTTTTATCTTTTTCTTTTCATTTTTTTTTCTTTTTTTCTTTTTTGAAGGGCAAGACAGCCATTAAAGAACAGTACAGCTCATAGGGAAAGGGAAACAGTAATCAACTACAGAAAAATGCACACGTTCCTCACAGATGGGGGTCCGCTCTGACAGCAGACCTCTTCATGGACATTGTGGTAAAAGAAAAAGACGTGGCCTCCATTCCCCAGGGAGATGGCCCATGCCTTTGTGGACACTGCCTGAAAGAATCCAAGGACTCCCCTTTCAGGGATTCTATACCTAGCGTTCTTTAGGGGCCCTACCAAGAGGTGACACAGGTTGGCCACAGGGGACTCTGTGGGGTGTTGTGCCTTCACATTCAGAACCCTCTGGATTCTTTGCATAGTTATCTTTGCATCACTGGGATGACTCAGGAAACGAAAAGACACCCACACCACGGAAGGCGGCCGGCAAGCAGCTGCTTCCTTTCAACTAAAAAATACAAGACTCATCCCCCTCCCTATTCGAAGCTGATATTTATGAGTTTTAACCAGTTTAAAGTGGAAGACAAGGAGTGACATCTCATGAAAACTTCGGCCAGAAGTATAAAAAAAAAAAAAATTTAAAGACCATTAAAAAGAAAAATGCCTCCTCCCCGCCCTTTTTCTTTTATTTGAAATCGGCCAGCCAGCCAGGCTCTTTTGAGGGTAGCGTTAATCTGCTTCTGTTAATCCTCAGTTGAAGCCATTACTGTTCTTCTCTGATAGAAGACACAACCCTGTTAACAGGCATCTCTGATCCACAGGGGCTGGGCCTTCAAGACACCAAACAAAAGCAGAAGCAGAAAACTTGAGAAACCAGTGGTGTGTGGTAATAATTGTAAATAAATTAACTGGGCACAAAAATACAAAATGCCTTGGTGTTCCAAGTTTTGTCCACCGCTCTTTAAGAGGGACAAGAATGTGGGGGACGGCGGGGGTTGGGGGAGGGCCCACGAGGGAGAAAAACAACACCTTTTTTTGGTCATGAGAAATTGAACTTTCGATCCACGCCCTGCACACACCATTGATTTAGACTTTTTCATGAATTTTTTCAACTTTCACAAACAACCTATCCAGGTCATTTCTCAGGTCATCGAGCAAACCCTTGGCTGATTCCAGGTTGTTCTCGTTGGTTTCTATTTTCACTGAGTATGCCACCAAACTGTCCACGGCAGTCCTGAGCATTTTCAAGTCCGATTCCACTTGGCTGACTGAGGATTTGAGGTGGTCTAGAGAAGAAAGTCTATCCAGGAAGTCCTGAGGAGGCAAGCGGGCCGCCTGGGCTTGGTCCTGACCCAGCAGCGTGTGGACTTGCTCTTGAACCTTCTGGAGCGCGTCCACGGTGCTGGGGAGCTCACCCACGCTTCTCTTGAGCTCCTCCACGTCGCTATAGAGGGAGAGCTGGGCCTCCCCGAGGCTCCTCACGGTGCTGGCCAGGCCGCCCTGCTCCTCCGAGGAGGAGCCCAGGGCCTGCAGGCGCTCCTGCAGGGTGGCCAGGCGCTGCTCATACTCCTCGCTCTTGGCCAGCAGGGACTCCAGGCTGTCGCGCTGCCGGGCAGAGGCCCCCTGCATGGCCTGGACGCCATCTTCCACAGTTTGCAGGCGGGAGTCCAGGCCCTGGCTCTTTCTCTGGAGCACGTCTAAGGCGTCGGAGTTGAAAACCCCGTCTTCCTCCGGCCTGAGGGACTGGGCCTTGAGTTGGCGCAGCTCCTCCTCCAGTCTCCTGATCTCCTCGGGGAGGCGGGCAGCGGCCTCCTCCGCCTGGAGGACCTTCTCCGTGAGGGCCTGCAACGTGAGGTGCTCCGAATGGGCAGCCTCCTTGAACTTCTGCTGCTCCTGTTTGAGGCTCACCAGCTCTTTGACCTCGGTGTAGACATCAGACTCCATGGTCTGGAGGGTGCTTCTGAGGGCCTCCATGTCCTTTTCTTTGGACTTCACCGAGGTTTGTATTTCCTTCACAACTTCCTTCAAGGCTTTCAAATCCTGCTTGTGCCCCTCGGAGTTTTCCAGAGAGGCAACCTTCGCCTTGACGTCGTTTATTTCCTTCTGGCTCCTCTTCTGGACCTCGGTGAAGATGGCAATGTTGTCGTTGATGGATTTGGTGAGCTCGGTCAGCCTCTCCTCCACCGTGTTCTCGAGGGACGTGAAGTCACGCTCCCGGGCGTCCTTCACCACATGGATCCCATCCGAGAGGTCTTTGAGAATCTCATTCTGGAGTTTTTGCAGAACTTCACTGATCCGGCTAATCTCAGTCTCCCCTTGCTTCACGACTTTCTCAGTGAGATCATGTTTATGCTGGAAGCTTCTCAGGATGGACTCAAAAGTCCCACATGTGGCTTGCAGAGACTGCACCTGTAACCAAAATCCAGATGTTAACTGCTGAGGAGCGCGGAGGAGTTGTACATATATACACATTCACGCAACTATATTTCTTTTTGTCCACCCAGCTTCCAGGTCCCCCCTCTTCTAGAATGGCACCACAATTTTCCTTTGGAGAACCTTCCACACACAATCCATGTGGTTTAGAGGATTAACCCGAGGGCCCTTCCAATTGCTCCAGGGATTGTTTGTAACCCAAGCCTGACCAATCAGCACCTTCCATCCACCTCACTCCCCAACCTGGAGCCACAGTGATTAGCCCAGGGATGGGCATGTGACCTAAGACGGGCCAACAAGTCAATTCCAGAACTGGGAAAGAAAACCTCTCTTTCTTCTGGGATTGCAAGCTACAGGATGAGGGAAGCCTGGAACTGCTCAGAGAAGCACATGAAGAACATTAGTCTAAGAGCTGAGCCAGCACAGAGGGAAGCCGAACTGAGAGACAACAAGATTAAGTTCTGACTACACAATGTGAATCCCTGCATACAGGTACACCTGAAGAAATCTACCCTTCGACTTTCTAGTTTCAGCTGGTAAGTTCTCTCTCACTCCCTCCCAGCCTCTCTTTAAGCCACTTTGAGCTGAGTTTCTAGCTTTTGCAATAGAAAGAGTCTCACAAGTTTTCACAGGACAAATACTGAGGCACATGGGAGACACTGGGCTGGGAGGCAAGAAACAAGGGCTGGGGGGTCTGCTCATCACTTTTAGCTATGTGGCCCTGAACAAGTCATTGTCTTCACTTGCAAAATGGGATCAGTGGACCAGATGATCCCTTAGCATCCTCTGGCTTTGTGACTACATTATGATCCTGTTGGCTATTACACATTCATTCTAAATAAATTCTACCCCAGGGAGCTGGTTTAATGTACTGAGAGGCTGACAGTATGATGATTAATGGCCTGGGCTTTATCCCGGTGTGGCACACAGTGCTACCTAGAATGCTTTCTTGGAAAAAAAAAACACAACAAACCACACTTGACTCTATCGAGTCTCTAGCTCTAATCACCAAGTCACAGAGAACATACAAGAGAGAAACATGCCATGAGGATGCAATCAGCCAAATCCACAGTGTGGAAAATTCTACAGGACAAATAACCAGGATCTTCAACAATAACATTTTAAAAGAGGGAAAGACAGAAGACTATCACAGACTGAAAGAAATTTAAGATTTATCAATCAAATGTAATATGTGGACTTAAATGGGTGCTCATTCAAATAAACCAAACCAAATATAAAGAGACATACTTTTGAGAGAATTGGGGAAATCTGATTATGGACTGGGTATTACAGGATAATCAAGAATTATTAACTTTGTTGATATATTGTGTTTTGTCAAAAAAAACAAGGAAAGGAAATGGAATGAAAGGAACTCTTATCTGTTAGAAATTAATCCTAAAATACTTTGGGTGAACTAATGTGTCAGTCAGGGATGAATTTTTTTTTTTTTAAGATTTTTTTTTTTTAATGGGGGAATTGGGGGAGGGGAACAGCATTGGGGAATCAGGGAAGGGGAACAGACAAGTTGCTGTCCTTTTGTTCTTCAGCCTAGTTGTGGAGGGCGTTGCTTCACTGGCCCAAGTTGGCACCATCATTGCGCT